AAAAGCACAAGGCCAGTGCTGCTCCACATACTTGAGTTTGTCCAGTGTGTAGTTTGGATCCTCCAGTTGTTCAGAGAGCAGCTTGACTCCTGAATCTCCTGGATGATTGTAGCTCAGATCCAGCTCTCTCAGGTGTGAGGGGTTTGAAGTCAGAGCTGAAGACAGAAAACCACAGCCTTCCTCTGTCACCATACAGCCAGACAATCTACAAACACAGCAATAGTCCACATCACACAGTTGGACAATCACACATCTCTTTGTGTTGTGAAGATGCTGACTGCTGTTTCTGCTCATGTCAACAGCAGTGATGAACACACACATCCTGATCAGCTCTCCTTATTGATCGAGCCCTCGCATCAGCAAACACACACACTCAAATAATGCATCATCTTAATGTGGTTTAATAGTTGATTTTAAAACATTATAAGTGTGTTTTGTAGATGATTGACACCTAGATGCAGGATTACAGCTGGTTGGATGACTGTAAGACATTTACTCAAATGTTACAGAGGTCTGAATTGTGTAATCAGGAGTAGGGCTGGGAGTAACTGCCCATGATTTAATGCACTCGCTTTGCTTGCCATAATTGGAATCACCACAGGAGGGCGCTCTAGACCAATAGGATTCAAGTGAGACAAAGCAGAGTAAGAGCAATTCACGTTTGTTCACGAGCTAACAGGTACAGCTCGGAAGAATGTCTTGAGCTTTTAGTGTCCCTTCGGCAAGCAGAGCGAGGGATGTTTTGTTTATTGTTTATTTGGAAAATGCTAGATGTTTTATAAATGTTTGTTGTATATTTTTCTATGCTGTTCGTTTGTTTTCTCTAGTTTTACGGTGCTTTTGGTCTTTTGATGCTTCGGTGTTTACAACAAAATACTGAGAAAATGATGATTTATGTGATCAACTTTATTGCATCCAAATAAACCATTTTAAATGCACCCGTCAAAACTCTCTGCCTATTTATTGAAAGCTGAAGGGCTGCTACACTGGGAGATGTCAGACAATATTTATTAATAATCGCCTTTAAAGATATCCTGATGTCTGATAATCTCGTCTCTCCCCTCACATCTGTCATGAGACATGTCCACACACACACACACACGCACACACACACACACACACACACACACACACACGATCTCTGAAGAGGAATAACTGGAGAAGACAGAATCGCTGGTGAACTCCTCTGAATGACCAAAACACCCAGGCAGGACAGAGCAACAGACAGATGCTGAGCTGCTTATCTTGGAGGATGGCCAGCACAAACTCAATGCAGCTTCACACTCTCGTCCAGCCCTACATCACAGCATCATCAAGACGCATTTATTAACTAGTAAAACTGTGGACAAGCAAATATGATACAGCCTATAGATACTGTCTAGCCAGTGCTCAGACTGATATGTGTGTAATGTGTTGAGGCCGCAGCTCATGATTGGCCATCCGCTTTCTCTTTCACTCACACATTCCTCTCCAAAGCGTGTGAGGGGGTCTAAACCTCAGATTATACTCATGAGCAAAAGGCCCGATCTCTCCTTCACATGTCTGGAGCTTTGTTTGCTTTATTTGTGTGTTAAAGTCATTCTAGATGTCTGTCAGCCTGTTCCTGTGGGTGAGATGGAGCGACTGACACATGAAATAAAGCTTTAGCATATGCATTCATCTACAATCTAAAGGGAAGCGTCGTGTTATTACTAGACCATCTACACTTACGGACTGGGCCGACATTTACTTGATCACTTCACTAGATTATCTTCCCTCAATAATGTGGATTATCTAATCTAATCGAACCTGATCTACTCAAATCCACATCGCCCAGCCCTAATCAGGTGTCCAGACTTTAAAGATGCTTCCTAAATGTGCAGATATCAGACATACATTATATTATATCACTTTCACTGCTTTCTAACCAGTGCGAATGCTAACTCTTATGTTTAGGGTGGAACATGCTAGCAGTTAACGTTAGCTAGCTCTCAGCTAAACATCACCTCTATTAGTTTAGCTTTAGCCGCCAGGAGTCTTAAGAAACAGAGCGGTGTCCCACATGTGTCTGAGTGACCAGAGCACTACTGAAAAATCCAGTTTGAACCAGCCTTGGCTGATGCGCTCGGACTTAAATGTTATATGCACAATCCTTAAATGCTCTGCTGATTTGGACTCTTTATCTATCAACAACCACGACGTTCTTCCCGCTCCGAGGTGAATTTTGGCGTAGTCCATTTCACATGAGATGGCGGGGGTTAGTGGAAGAAACCAAGTCGCGGGGGGAATACATTATACAGCAATATATATTCTACAGCAATAATTTATGATTTCTTATGTAGCCCGGTTCCAATTGTTCCACGGATTACTTCTCTTACACGGATTGTTCTCTTAGTAAATCGGGCACTAAACAACTGCAAAGTGCCTACGCAGATGAACTGTAATTTCACATTGTTGAGTTGAATCTCAGCCAACCCCCTCTCTCGAGTCTTTTGTCATTGTCTTTTTTCAGTTTATACTC